CTCCTCCCCCTGGGGCGGTGCCTCCTCCGCGGTGCGGCCGCTAGCTCGCTCGCTCGGCTGCGTTCGGCGGCAGTGAGCGGGGCTCGGCTAGGCTCGGCTACGTTCGGCTGGGCTCGGCTACGTTCGGCTGGACTCGGCCGGGCTCCACTGACTGTAATAACAGCTAAGACCCCCACCTCGTGGAGGGGCCGGCGGCTGATAGCCTGTCTGGGGCGGGGCCATCCTCCCTGCCTTAATTCAATTGGCTGGATGTGCTAAGCTCCTCTGCCATTGGTTGTGCGCTGGGGCGGGGATTGGCCCGCCCCTTGAACTGGCTTAGGGCAGCGGACTGAAGAAGCTCCTCAGTCTTGTTACAGCCCAGGGGTTGGGGCCCACCATCGTAATAAGACATATTGCGCCTTCTACACCTGGAAGAGCCTTACGTTTAAAGTCTGAGAAAGGTCTCTGTACTTCCACATCGGAGGAGACTGCCCTCTTTATCAAGGAGAAGTCGCCTTCCTCATCATCCAAAAGAAAGCCCTGCAGCCCCATCCCTGGAAGGAGACTGAACCTCCTCCTCTTCGAAGCCCTCAAGTTCCACTTCCACATGGGGCTGTACTCTGCATCTCCACTTTAATGGGTTTTTATAGTTGGTACCAAATTCCCTGGCCCCAGGAGATGTGAGAATCTTTGGCAACATGAATTCTTTGTTACAATTTACTGAGTTTCCACCCAGTGTTCTTGGCTGTGCTATAGGGAAGGCGGGGACAAAAAGAATGGGTATGTGAAGAGATAGCTCAGCCCTGGCTGGAATAGGGCCAGGCATGGTGGAGGGAGTGATTCTTTGCATGCTAGAAGTTCGCTGAAGAGGAAGATCAGCTTGGCTTGAACCTCTGGAAGTTCGCTGTCAATGTATGGTTGCAGCACCCTCAGGGAGGCTTTCCTCCCTTGACCCTCTAATGCCAGTGAGCCCTAAGAATTCTGCTCTGGACCCTCATCTCATCCCAGTCTACATATTCTCCATGTATAATTACATTCCTGAAGTTATACCATGAAAACTTCAGTGCTCACAAATCCAGCCTTAACATCTCCCTGAAATTCTAGACATATAGCCAAATTCCTAACAAAATCATTGATTCCTGGTTCTGTTACTTACTAGCTTTAGACAAGTTATTTGATCTTTCTTAACCTTCCTTATCTATAAAGTGGTTATAGTTGTTGTTGTTTGGTGCCATCCAGTCAGCACTGACTCATAGTGACCCTATGCATAACAGTGCAAAACACTGCCCAGTCCTGGGCCAACCTCACAATCACCATTACGCCTGAGCCCATTGCTGCCACTGCTGTGCCAATCCATCTCGTTATCTGTTGAGGTCCTATGTCGGGGTCCTGCCTCAACAAGGAAGTGTGGGTGTCACGAAGAAGGGAGATCTGGTGGCGAACGTGATGGAGAAAGAGAGAGACAAAATATATACAAAAAAGACACACACATAGATGCGATGCAAGCTGGCAGGTAGACAGATCTGCAAACATATTGCCTAGCATTGTACAGCATTGCACAGCATTGCATGCAGAACTTACTCTACCTCAGCCTTTTATTCTCTTTTTTAGGGAGGGATTTGTTACAAAGGAAGGATGTAATTCACTGAGGGAGGATGTGATTAAGACAGGATACGGAACTGAAATGTGATTAATCATTCAAAACAGGACATAATGATTCACAGGAACAACTTTTAAGATATTTTCATCGTTTTTTCTTAACAATCTAACATTTTTATTTTTACAGAAAAAAGATTCAATCAAGCTGTTATGTATTAATTTTTAGGCTTAAATGATCTAGAGTAGCAACATGCAGTTTCTTAATGATATATAACATAAAGCAAGGTTCCTGAAAGGAGCCAAGCTGTCTCTGTACACTTTGCAAACTTTTGTTTGTGAGCAAGATCTCAGGCACCAGGCTTCATTTATCTATACCTAAAATGCTACATTGTTCTTAATTATCACATTCCTATATACTTTCAGGAGGAAGAAGAGCATCTGGGTTAAACTGATTATATTCAGAGGTGGTTCAGTGAGGCTGCCACTAATCAACCCAGGGTCTGCATATGCTGTCCCTAGCATATCCCCCCATTTTGTTTTAATTGGAGGGTGTGAACATTGACTGTGAGGGCCGAAATATAGCGTATCAATGATATAAGAAAACACAAATCCACTTATACAATGAATAACATTAAACTGAGATTTTAAACTTGATATTTTGAATCTTATTTCCCATACACAATATTGCTTCCTCTAAAGCATTTATTCTATTTTGTAAACCTTTATCTATTTGCTCTTGGACTAAAAGAGCAAGACTAACATTTCTAGAAAGTTGATTTATACGAGAGGCAGTATGAACTGATTATACAAGGGAGGCAGTGGAAAGGGCAAAAGAAGCAATTTTTCCTATTAATACAGTAATTCCTAAAATGAGAGTAGCAACAAAACACGTGGCACATTTAAGGGCCAAAGCAGCATGATGAAAGGCCTTAATTCCGGTAACATTAACAGGTAATAAAACATACAGTGGTTGATAAACAATACAATTGGAAAGAAACAATTAGAGCAAAAACCATAAGAAACACTATGGGGGTCTTTATGCATTTTAAACAAACTTTCAGAACCTGTGTAAATTATGGAAAAAGGTGCTGCCGCGCAAGCAGTAACAAGGTTAGTAGAAGTCACCAGTTGTCCCTGGGTCACAATGGTGGTCTCAGCATTGTGGGTCAATGCTTTAATCTGTCCCCAGGTTGAAGCAGTCAGTCATCGTGGAGGAGTCGGTGGCATACTTGCTAGTTATTGTAGAGGCAGATGTTGGAGGGGAGAAATCAAAAGCCGGCTGTTGGAGCCTGTGGGTGCTGGTGGAGACATGCCCTCAGCTGGCATGGGGGGTGGGAAGTGGCCATCTTCTTGCTATAGGGTCAAATTAGTTGGTCTATAGTGTCCTGTGAAAAGACTATCTTTGCCCCTTGGTTAGTAACACATTATGTAGGCTATAAGAATCAGAACACAGATGAAAGGAGGTTTGTAACAGCAATCAACTCGGTGCTGAAGTTTCCAACAATCAGTAAAAGACTTTTGACAGAAACTGCGTCAGCAGGGTTAGGGAGAGGAAGAAGCAGACAAATGAATCCATTCTAAAGGTCCCTGCACTTGCCAAATGACCCCAGTAGGTGTCAATATCATCGAGAGAACAATAAGATCAGGTTTTTCCTGACCCTTTTCCTGGGGACAGTCCCGAAGAAAATGTCTGGACTGTCCTCATAAAAAGCAAGTGCCATCGGAGTGTTCCCCTCCCTGCTTTAACCGAGGGGAAAGAAAAGAAGAGATTACCCTGCCTACGGGCCTCTTTCATAGATGCTTGGAGGCAGGAACACCACGGCACAGACTCACTTTTTTCCCCTTTAAGCCGCGGTCGGCGGTGATTATAAAACCAATCTGGCTCTTTATAACCAGTGGCTTCCTCCTCTACAGTAATCTAATCTTCAGGACTCATTTTCTCAAAATTGGGACTAGAGGAGTCAGACTCTTCTTGCACATCAGCTAAGTCCACTATGTACTTATGGGCTGGGTGTTTGTTAGCAAGTTTTTTCGGTTTCGTTTCATTTAGGAGTGATGAAGACTCATCACAATCCTGAAAATCATTCTCAGACCCATCAAGCAAATCAGTTGCACCAC